TTTTTGGCAAAAACTACCACCAGGTTGAACAGAGGACTTTCCATAAAAAATCTTTTATTCAGCTCGACTAAATAGAGGTTAGTTTCCATAGAAGATAATTTTTGGCCCAGACTGAAAAATGAAGAGTTTCCCCTGGAAATCTTCTACTCAGCCCGGTTTTATCATGGTTTCCTTAAAAAATCTTAAATTTGACTGGGTTATAAGAAGTTCCATTAAAAATTCCTCCAAGGAACATTACTTTTGTTTTACTACCCCTTCTTCCTTTCCATCCATCCTTCCTTTCGCGTCATCTCCCACTGAGTGCATTCATGTGACTAATAACAATAAGTTCCTATTAATCACATGTCCGGTGGTTTCGTGTCACGAAATCCAATACCTTTGGCTCCTGCTGCTGCCACTAAGTAAACACCGACAGCAAAAAGAAATGACATGTCTGAGCTTCCACAAATACTCCATTAACACAAAACTTCATCTCTCTCACTCTCAGCCCCATCTCCTCGAAATTTTCGCCAATGGAGAGAAACTAATTTCCATTTGCTGTCGGAACCGACATGCAACTAAAACAAAAACAACAATTAATAACATAAAAATGAAAACGAAGTAGCGTTGGGGGACCAACCACAAAAGGAAACTTTTAAGTCTAGTTTGGGAAAAAAACGTAGACCTCTGGGTGTTACACATTTATGGATTTCGGTTGCATGTTGGCAGAGTAGTTTCTCGGTGTCTTAAAGCTTTCTTTTGTTTTTCGTTTTTGTATGGAATTTTAGCCTAGTTGCCTTTGCTCGCTTTTAATGAAATGGCCAAATAAAGTTAACCGTTAGCTGTGGCTTCCGTTGTGGTTATATAAGGTGCCAAGCGTTGAAGCCACATAATGGTTATTTCAATTAGTGCGAAATATCGCTGTTTTTTTTGAGAGGTTTAATTTTTTTCAGCAGCTAAGTTTAGTTGAAGTTGAGAAAAGAAATGGAGAAATTCCTATTGAAAATCTTATTCAGTTTAGCTGTATTTAAGATTCGATATGGAAACCACGATTCATCTAAGCTAAATTAAAGATTTTCTATAGAAACTGGCCAGTCTTGTTCAACCTGGTTTGAATTTAGGATCCCCTAAAATTATCCTAATCATTGGAACCAATTGCTTGAGTACTTATAAAGGTTTCTTGCAACCGTATAATAAATCCTCGTAGTGCTTGAATACTTATTAAGGTCTCTTGCAACCGAATCCTTGAATATCCTGTAGTGTTTGATTACTTATTAAGGTCTCTTTCAACCGAATCCTTGAATATCCTGTAGTGTTTAATTACTTATTAAGGTCTCTTGCAACCGTATCCTAGATCCTTGTAGTGCTTGAATACTTATTAAGGTCTCTTGCAACCGTATCCTAGATCCTTGAAGTGCTTGAGTACTTATTAAGGTCTCTTGCAACCGTATCCTTGAATATCCTGCAATGCTTGAGTACTTGTTAACGTCTCTTGTAACCGCATCCTTGAATATCCTCTAGTGCTTGAGTTCTTATTAAGGTCTCTTGCAACCTTATCCTTGAATATCCTGCAATGCTTGACTACTTATTAAGGTCTCTTGCAACCGCATCCTTTAATATCCTTTAGCCTGCTTGAGTACTTATCCAGATCTCTCGCACTAAATTCATCCCGAATCCTTAGCACCCAAATCCTGTGCCCTTGTTTCGTTTCTCGAGTACTTAGCCAGGTCTCGAGATGAAGAAGAACCACTTCCAGTGCCGGACCGAAGAATAAAATTTTTGTACGAACCCCTGGACCCCGGCGAGCTATTCCAGCGCAAGGGGGAGAAAGCCTGTCGTAACAGGAGTCTAGAAAATCTCATTTAGTTGGGCTGAATTTAAGATTTCCCATAGAAAACCTCTAGCCTTTGAAGCTCCTCTCTTTCTCTCTCTCTCTTCTTCCTTTTAATTACTCTCACAGCATAATAAAGCCACATGAAATATAAACATCAAAATCTATTTCAATGCCTGTTTATGTTTATCACTTCCAAATATTTTTTGCTAATCTTATTACAAACAAGTCTAGCAAACTAGGAAATTTATGTTACGAATAGTCCTTCATGTCTGAAAAGAAAAACAAATATCCTCTCTTTGGCCATATCCTTTCCTTCCAGTTTATCAACATATTTTCAAAGCCATTAGACAAATGATGGGATTTGCTAAAACAAACTATAAAATTAAGACTTTATCAGAGAGGCCAAAAACTGCCTCCTGACAACACATGGTGGATGTGGGCCACAAAGACTCCCTCTCATCCCCCCTCTACGCATCATGAAACGGGTGTGAAGAGAACCCCATTTGAATATTGCTAAATAAGTTATTTTGGCCAGAAGCTCACCATAAAAATGCTCCACTGAAAGCATTAAAATGAAATAGGACTAGCAAAGGACTAGCCCAGCCTAGGCTGTTATGTTGCCCAGCTGCTGGGCCATAAGGCTTTATATCCTCTAACAAAACAGCTCTCCACAGATTAGGCCTTAGATTTTTTTGTTTTTGCAATACAGACAACAATCTGTGGAGTGTAAAATCTTTATAATGCTGAATTGGCTGGAAAAGAAACAAAGCTACTCTCTTGGAACTCTGCTGAGTTGGGTTTCGCATGAGAAGGGTTTGCATGAAGCTGGCCATAATTAAATGATATGGCAGGGGATAAAAACAATAACATAACATAAAAATGGAAACAAAAAAAAATAATAAATACATTTTTTTCAAGCCACTTTTCAATGGCTATCTAAAGCATTGGCTCCCTAAAGCAATAGCTCGAAAAACCTGAATCCAGCAGATGTATCTCAATAGAAGCCTGGCCACATATTGACCTCCTAGTCTATTTTCAGGGGATTTCGGGGAGAGGGGTTTCCTTCCCAGGAAAATAATGCTCACACATTTACAACAAAGATTCCCCTCCATTATCCCTCCCAACTCCCCCTCATACCTGCTGAATATTTTGCATATCTTAATAACTGAATAGAATAACACAGCACGTGACTTCATAACAAGTTACTGCAGGTTTACGCCACAACAAAAGCAACAACAACAACAATGGAAGTTTTAGCAAAGTTTTTGTGGTCCAGTGGATGTTTATCTTTAGAGTGCCTGGGAATAAATCTGTATACAATTATGAAAAATTAAATTGAAGTTATGGAGCTTTTTCTCTCTCTCTTTCTCTGACCTAATGGGTTTTTGGATTGAATTACATTTAAGAAAAATTTGAAAATTTTGATAAAATAGAAAAATAAAAAAAAAAAATTAATAAAAAAAGTATAATAAATAAAAACTTCACTTCTTTGGAGACTTATAGTAAAATTTGATGGAGAATATTTTTGTCTTTGACGTCATTCTCCTATAGTGATGCTTTGTTGGAGATTTCTGCACAAACTCACACAAAGTACGACTTTAACCCCAAAATGTCTATTTAATAATATGTGAATTTCTGGCGTTTAATTAATATATAGGCTTTTATCACCTTCTAGGACCTATAGTAGAATTTCATAAGTTATAATTTTGTGTGTGACCTCCTACGATACCGTTAGAATAGAGTTTTTAATCATTTTTCGAAAAAATAACCAAAAAGACCCCTTTGTTGACTCGCTTAAGGGTTAAAAATATAAACAGAAACTTAATTCGACGACTTAGAGTAAAATTTGATGAAGAATATTTTGGTCTTTGACGTCATCCTCCTATAATGATGCTTTCTTGGAGAATTTTACCCAATTTCATACAAAGTATGGCTTTAACCCTAAAATGTCTATTTAATTTACATGAAATTCTGCCGTTTATGTAAGATTTAGGCTTTTGACATCTTCTAGGACCTATAGTAGAATTTTATGGCAAATAATTTTGTGGTATACTTTGACCTCCTGCGATACCATTAGAGTGGAGTTTTTAATCATTTTTCAAAAAAAGGACCAAAAAGACCCCTTTGTTCACTCGCTTGAGGGTTAAAATTGTCGACTGAAATATTCTACGTATTCTTATCTGCAATATTGCCAAAGACACTATATACCTAAAATGTAAGGATTCCGAGGAATCTTTATTTGAAAATTCCCTATGCCATCTTTGCTGAATTACGGTTCCCAAAGAAATGACCAAAATGACCCCTTTCTTGACTCGCTTGAGGTTTAAAAATATGGACCAAAATATTCGTCGCATTTTTATCTGCAATATTGCCCAAGACACTATATACCTAAAATGCAAGGATTCCGAGTAATCTTTATTTGAAAATTTCAGATTCCATTTTTGCTAAATTACGGTTCCCAAAGAAATTCTTCAATTCAGCCTTGACCTTATCTGAGGATGACTTCCTTTTAGGATATTTTCTATTATATTCTTATGTTTTTTTTTTGTTGTTGTTATATTTTTGTTGTTTTGTTGTTGTTATATATATATTATATTGTTGTTTGAAAAATTATTCGAAAATCTCCGTTAATGCATTTCCCTGATCAAACTATTTGTCGAAGACATTCATCATTTTCCCAAATGGCCCAACGATGACCAGTCACTGGCATTTTCACCATTCAATAATTTTAATGAACAACCCAGCAGCTGTCCCATATAAATCAGCCGGGCACCTCCATCCACTAGCCATTAGCATTATCACAAATCACCTCGAGAACCTTCAAGCCATTTAAGCGTTTTCATTAATTTCATGTTCATCATTTTCGCTTTTCAATTGAATGGCCAGACCCCTACCCCTCTCCCCCTAAATTTATTGGCCAAAAAGATAATAGATATCCCCCGAAGATGTGGTCGATTGCCATGACATATCGGTGACATTTGGCTGTGATCTGTGGTGGTGTGGTGTGGCGATGAATTATTACGCCAACAATTACGCGATCTTAAAAAGATATTTTCTGGGATTTGCTCAACAAATTATTCAATAAATATTATTTTCTGTCAAATTTTCGGCAAATGCCGATCAATAGCCGCTCGATTAATTATTAATTAATGAAAAAAAATATATATATTTTTTTTTTGCATTTCAGAATTGGAACCGGCATTTCCTTATCGCGATGTGCAAATACAAAGAGATGTGGATGCCCATGCCTTGTATGACATACTCGGAGAGGTGGGAAGGTAGGCAGGAGACAACTCATTAAAATTTTTTCTCAAATTTTAAAAATTCTCCCTTAATTTTTCCCAGGGGAAAATTCGGTGTGGTCTACAAATGCCAGGACAAAAGCAATGGCCTCAAGTTGGCTGCCAAATTTGTGCCCACGCCCAAAAAAGAGGATCGCCGCAATGTCGAACGGGAAGTGGAAATTATGAACTCCCTGCAGCACCATTTGATCACACAGCTCTATGCCGCCTATGAACACAACAAAATGATGTGTGTCGTGCAAGAATTGTAAGTATAGCAAAAAAAAACAAAAACAACAACAACAAACATTTATAAAATATTTCAAAACTATTTCAACCCCGAGCTGGGCATTAGAATTGCTAATGGGCAAGACTAAATTCCGTTTCCAAGAGTGTTTGAGGCTCGTGAAACAACTTTTTAGTAGTTGATTAGATTTCTAAGCGTTGCGATCACCATGTGCCTTTTAGCGTTTGCAAGAGTTTTGAAAAAAGCTTTCAATATCTTGGTGACCATAAATATACAATATGGACCCACATATGTGGTCCACATGGTGAAGAGGACAAAGCAAAGAATTCAGAAAAAAGTTAGGAATAAAAATAAAGTAAGTTTCGAATATCCGGATAGAGAGATAGAAGATTACCTATGGAAACCTCTATTCAGCCAGGCTGGATAGAAGATTACCTATGGAAACCTCTATTCAGCCAGGCTGGATAGAAGATTACCTATGGAAACCTCTATTCAGCCAGGCTGGATAGAAGATTACCTATGGAAACCTCTATTCAGCCAGGCTGGATAGAAGATTTCCTATGGAATCCTCTATTCAGCCAGGCTGGATAGAAGATTACCTATGGAAAGCTCTATTCAGCCAGGCTGGATAGAAGATTACCTATGGAAAGCTCTATTCAGCCAGGCTGGATAGAAGATTACCTATGGAAACCTCTATTCAGCCCCGGCTGGATAGAAGATTACCTATGGAAACCTCTATTCAGCCAGGCTGGATAGAAGATTACCTATGGAAACCTCTAATCAGCCCGGGATGAATAGAAGATTACCTATGGAAACCTCTATTCAGCCAGGCTGGATAGAAGATTACCTATGGAAACCTCTATTCAGCCAGGCTGGATAGAAGATTACCTATGGAAACCTCTATTCAGCCCCGGCTGGATAGAAGATTACCTATGGAAACCTCTATTCAGCCCCGGCTGGATAGAAGATTACCTATGGAAACCTCTATTCAGCCAGGCTGGATAGAAGATTACCTATGGAAACCTCTATTCAGCCAGGCTGGATAGAAGATTACCTATGGAAACCTCTATTCAGCCAGGCTGGATAGAAGATTACCTATGGAAACCTCTATTCAGCCAGGCTGGATAGAAGATTATCTATGGAAACCTCTATTCGCCAGACTGGATAGACGATTACCTATGGAAACCTCTATTCAGCCAGGTTTCCATAGGAGAGCTTTTCCTTGGGAAATCTTCTTCTATTCAGCCAGGCTGAAAAAGAGAGCTTTACGGGAAATCTACTTCTATTCAGCCCGGCTGAATAGGCGAGATTTCCCGTCGGAAGTCTTCTTCTATTCAGCCCTGCTGAATAGGCGGGATTTCCCGTCGGAAGTCTTCTTCTATTCAGTCCGGCTGAATAGGAGGGCTTTCCCGTAGGAAATATTCTTCTATTCAGCCCGGTTGAAAAGGAGAGCTTTCCCTTGGCAAATCTTCTTCTATTCAGCCTGGCTGAATAGGAGAGCTTTCCCTTGGGAATCTTCTATTCAGAGAGCTTTCCCTGGAAAATCTCTTCTTTCCATTGAGAAGTTTCTCATTCGTTAGAAAATTCTCATCCTCTCTTTTCCTCTCTTAAAATTTCTTGTTTTACTCTCTGTGTGTTTCTTTCTCTCTATTTCTTTCAGAGTAGAAGGAGGTGAGCTCTTTGATCGTGTGGTGGACGATGAGTTCGTGTTAACGGAGCGTGTCTGTGTGGTTTTTATACGTCAGGTGTGTGAGGCCATGGAATTTATACACCGCAACAATATCCTGCATCTCGATTTGAAACCTGAAAATATTTTGTGTCTAACCCAGGAGGGTAATCGCATCAAAATCATTGACTTTGGTTTGGCGAGGAAATTTGATCCGAATAAGAAATTACAGGTAATAAAATAAAGGTCGTAAAGAGAGACATTATTTCAGCCCTGCCTCCACCCCTCTCTCATAAATGCATGGGTGTAATCTATCCCAGGCTTTATGAGGTTACAAGTTAATGCTGTGATAACCCCCGGAATCGCAAGGGATGGGGGTGTTTATGGCCTTTGTGGCCAAATCATAAAAAGTCTGGTCTGTTGGATTTTTTCTAAAGAGAGAGGGGGGGAGGGGTTTTGCCTTTCCTCTATGATTATTGTGGGGTTATGTTCTTCGAAGCTTTGCAGGCTAATTAAAAATGCTTTAATTTCTTTCCAAGAATTTCTTGATAATGAAATTGGTAAGGGGTAGGGGGGGAGGTATGTGGAGCTCAAAGGTGAATGTGTTAACACATTATTTTCTTGATTTGTCAAAATATCTGTGGAAAGCTTCTGGAGGGTAAATAACTGACAGCTTTATGGCGATACTCGAAATGAAAACTAAATTAACATTTTTCCTTAACAAAGCAGACAATTTGCCGGCAACACTCAGCGAAATTTGAATAAGGTCAAAGTATTTTTCCTCCTAAAAATTTTCCCTAGAAGACCGAACGAATGACAGATTGAATGGGAGTAGGGCTTTCCAAGGGGAACCCAAATTCAGCCCGAACAAATGGGGGTTTTCTATGGAAAATTTTAAGTCAGCCAGGCTCCATTGGGTTGCCCTAAATTCAGCTGGATGAAAGCTCTCTCTTCAGCCCGGCTGAATAGAAAATTAGATGCCTTTCCTGTGGAAAGCCCTCTCTTCAGCCGGGCTGCTTGGACGGTTTCCTGTGACTTGTCCTATTCAAACATCCTTGAAGGTATTTTTAATTTAAACACAAATTGACTTCTCACCGAACAACCAACCAGCCACACACATGGCAATGGCAATGGGGTGTTTCATAATTAAAATAAAATCTCCAGCAAAAGAAGAATGCAATAAAATCAGGATTACGAATGTAAATGAATTTTCTTCGCCCTCACAATCATCATCCCCCACCCCGCAACCCCCCATTGGCTGAACAACAATAACCATTTTGTGTTTTGTTAATTTTTTTTTTGCTCTCTTCGACAGATACTTTTTGGTACACCGGAATTTGTGGCTCCTGAAGTTGTTAACTTTGATTGCATCTCCTATGGCACGGATATGTGGAGTGTGGGAGTCATCACATATGTTCTGTAAGTAAATTATTTTTACATCCTTTGGAATACGAAAAAAAAAACATAACTTCTTCGAAGCGAATGGGAGGGAGGGAAAGAGGAAACAAGAGTGGAAAATAAAACCTGAACGAAATTAAAACCTAATTAAAAAATCTGGTTAATTAAAATCGCGTTTCCTTGGGGAAATCTTGGGGAGAAATTTTTCACTTCTTGTTTTCTTTTTTTTTGGGTTTCTTTTGCTTGAAAATATCCGCCAGCAATTTGAATTCCATTAATTACATTCTATTTCAACATTGATTAACAAATCCACAAGCCCATCGATATTGTGTGAATTTGCTGTCCCGCTGCTTTACAAATCTAATTAAAAAAAATTGCCATTGGTTTCGGTAGGGGTCTGTGACCCCTTAGGAATTAGAAAGAGGTCTCAAGTTTGTATTTCATATTGAATAAATTAAATTATTAAGAAAAAAGCAAAGCCAAAGAGTCGAGGGGAGGATAGAAATTTGGGGGAAACAAATTTTTACAAAGTTTTCCATGAATCTGCGACCCCTTAGGAATAAAAAAGAGGTCTCCAGTTTGTATTTCATATTGAATAAACATAAAATGTGAACGAGGGGAGTACGAAAATTTTGGTGAAATTTTTTTTACAAGATTTTCAGTAGAGAAATCATGGATTCAGTAAAGTTTCTCTAAAAAAAATCTTGAAGTCCAGGATTTTTTTAAATTTTTTCAATTTCCCAAAATTTTTAGCCTTCCCGCATTTGGGGGTTTAAGTAAAATGCCATTGGTTTCACTTTGGGTCTGTGACCCCTTAGGAATTAGAAAGAGGTCCAAGTTTGTTAAAAATAAATTAAATTATTAAGCAAATATAAGGCAAAAGAGGGGAGTGTGGAAATTTGGGGAAAATAATTTTTACAAGACTTTCAATAAAGAAATATTCAGTTTGGTTTTTTTTAAAAAAATCGGGAATTCAAAAAAAAAAACAAAAAATTATACTTTTTAATTTCCAGAACAGTGTTTTTGTTGTTACAAAATGGTCAGGCTTAATCCCTTTATTGTTGTTTTTATAAAAACAACGTTTGTTTATTAGTGGAGAACGGGTAAGATAGGTAATACCTTTTTTTAAACAAAAATTTTTAAAATAACTTCTGTGAAGAATATCCCAGACAAAAAAGAAGGGAACTCATGAGGGTTGTTGGCTCTTTCCGCAACCTAGGTATTCCCTACCTTACCCCCTGGTGAACATTACCATCGATCTCCACTAATAAACAAACGTTGTTTTTAAAAAAAAACAATAAAAAAGGGATTATGCCTAACAACATTTTTTTAATTTCCTGAAATCTTCATACTTCCCTCTTATAAGAAATATTTTTACAAGATTTTCCATCGAAAAAAATATGTTTTCCGTAGGTGAATATAAATACATAGCTAGAATATTTAATCCCATATCATATTTTCCACATTTTTTTAAACGAGGAAAGTATGGAAATTTGGGGAAAATAATTTTTTACAAAATTTCTTCATTTCTTCAATTCAGTTTAGTTTCTCTAAAAAATCTTGAATTACAATTTTTTTTATTTTTTTTTTTAATTTCCCAAAATCTTCATCCTTCCCTCTTTTGGGAAATATTTTTACAAGATTTTCCATCGAAAAAAAAATTGTTTTCCGAAGTTGAATATAAATACATAACCAGGATATTCAACCCTAAATCATATTTTCCCCATTTATTTAAACGAGGGAAGGATGGAAATTTTGGGGATAATTTTTTTTACAAGATTTTCTATAAAGAAATCTTTAAATCTTTAGTTTTTTTCAATTTCCGTATTCCGTAGTTGAATATAAATACATAACTAGGATATTTCATCCTAAATCATATTTTTCCATTTTTTTTTTAAACGAGGGAAGTATGGAAATTTTTGGGGAAACATGTTTACAAGATTTTTTATAAAGAAATCTTCAAAACAGTATAGTTCTTCTATAGAATTTCGAATTCCAAAAAAAAATTTTAATTTTTCTCAATTTCCCAAAATCTTCATCCTTCCCTCTTTTGGGATACATTTTTATAAGTTTTTCCCTAGAAAAATATTTTTCACAGTTGAATATAAATACATATCTATGGAATTTAATGCTAAATCATCTTTTCCCCATATTTTATACCCTCCACCATGGTATGGAGGGTATATAAGGTTTGTCATTCCGTTTATTACAACTCCAAATATATATTTTAGACCCCACAAATTATATATTCTTGATTAGCATAAAATTCTATGTCGATTTAGCGATTCTTGTCCATCTGTCCATCTGTCCGTCTGTGGAAATCACTCTAGCTTCCGAACGAAATGAAGTAGGTTGATAAAATTTTACTCAAATGTATGTTATGCCTGCAGGACTTTTGGTATTGAAAATGGGCCATGTAGATCCACGTTTTGGTATAGCCCCCATATAACCGTATATCCCGATATTTGGTATTTTGATGATTTTAGCGACAATATTCACCGGAATTGTTTTAAATTTGGTATTTGAAGTTCGTAATGGATAGTACAGCCTGAGACAAGAAATTTTCTATGCAGATCCACGAATTCATATAGCCCCCATATAGCGGTACCTCCCGATATTCGGTACTTTAATGATTTTAGCGAATTTATTCCCCGGAATTGTTTCAAATTTGGTATTTGAAGTTCGTAACGGATAGTACAACCTGAGACAAGAGATTATCTACCACTCAATATTCGGTACTTTGATGATTTTAGCGTCATTATTCACTGGAGTAATTTCAAATTACGTATTTAGAGTTCGTAATGGGTACTACACCCTATGGCAGAAAATTGTCTATGCAGGCCCAGGTCTTCGTATGGGTTCCATATATCGGTACCTCCCAATATTCGGTATTTTGATGATTTCAGCTACATTATTTACCGGATTTTTTCAAGTTTCATATTTGAAGTTCGTAATGGATACTACAGCCTATGACAAAAGATTGTCTATGCGGGCCCAGGTCTTCGTATAGCCTCCATATACCGGTACCTCCCAATATTCGATATTTTCATGATTTTAGTGACATTATTCACCGAAATTTCGTATTTGCAGTTCCTAATCGCTACTACAGCCTGTGACAGAAAATTTTCTATGCAGGTCCAGGTCTTCGTATAGGTACCATATATCAGTACCCTATCCCTATATTCGGTATTTTGAAGATTTTAGGTAAAATATAAATCGAAATTGTTTCAAATTCCGTATTTAGTGTTCGTAATGGGAACTACCGTCTATGACAGAAAATTGTTTATGCATATCCAGGTCTTCGTACAGGCTCCATATATCAGTACCTCCCTATATTCGGTATTTTGATGATTTCAGCGACTTTATTTACCTTTTTTTTTTCAAGTTCCATACTTGGATATTTTAATGGCTTATGTCAAAGTTGCCTCTGCAGGTCCACGTTTTCGTAAAGACCTCAATAAAACTGCTATATTCGGTATTATTAAGATTTTAATAGAATTTTTAACGGTTTTCATTTTTTTGAAAATTTCCTAATTTGTTCCAAATGGTGGAGGGTATTTTTTTTTCAAATTTTCTTAAAATCTCTAAACATCCTCTTTTATCCTACCTGAAATTAAAGAAATCCACTTCAATTTCTTGAATCACTTTTTTTCAATTTTCCTAAAATCTCCATCTTTTCCTCCTTTTGTCTATTGTCCTACCTGAAATTAAAGAAATCCCCTTCAATTTCTTGGCTCAAACAATAGGAGGTTTCTCCAAAAAAAATCTTAGCTCCAAATCTTTTTTGTTTTAATTTTTTTTTCAATTTTCCTAAAATCTCAATTTTTTCCTCCTTTTGACCTTCCCGAAATCGACAACATTCCACTTTAATTACTTGCCTCAATAAATCAGGGGTATCTCCCAAAAAAATCTTAAATTCCAAAAAAAATGTTTTATTTTTTTTAATTTCTTAAAAAAACCCCATACTTGCCCTCAATTTTCCAAATAAAATTCCTCTTCGATTGCTTGGCTCATTAAATCAGGGGTTTCTCCAAAAAAAATGTAAAATCCCCAATTTTTAATTTTTTTTCAATTCCCTAAAATCTTCATAGTTCGCTCCTTTACCCTCCCTAAAAAAAAATCTAAGAAATTCCTCTGCAATTGCTTGGCTCACTAAATCAGGGGTTTCTCAAAAAAATCTTAAATTCCAAATATTTTTTTATATTTTTTTCCAATTTTCCCAAAATCTCCAAACCGCCCTCCTTCTTTGCCCTCCCTGAATTCGAAGAAAATTCCTCTTCAATTGCTTGGTTTGCCACGAAAATCGTTAGCTTTAAGCTTAAGGTTCTTAAGTTAATTTCAACTAATTTTTTATTTTTGTTTTCCTCCAACTTTCTTCTTCTCTTTATTTCATTCCACATCCTTCCGTCAAACATTCAACTCAACAACCAAACAACAACAACGAAAATCCCAATTTTCATTACTTTTGGCCATTAACGAAAATGACTTAACAACAATTTGGGCAATAACAACCACAACAACAAACTACAACAATGAAATGGCTAACTTGGAACAACAACACCAATCATGTTACAACAACATAATTACATTCTTCCAACGTTTTGGACATGGCAACAATTGAATGGTCTCTCTCTCTTCCTCCCTAACCCTCAAAAAACTCAATTCGAACAAAACCAAAAACAACAACAATAACAACGACCTGGTTTCAATTCTTTGGCTTTTTCTCCTCCTTCACCCCGTTCTTCAAATTCTGATGCTGTAGAATTTCTGGTCTCTCACCGTTTATGGGCGAAACCGACATTGAAACCATGGCCAATGTAACCATAGCCAAATATGATTTTGAGGATGAATCCTTTAGCAGTGTCTCACCTGAATGCATCGATTTCATATCGAAATTATTGGTAAAAGATTTGGAGTAAGTATCGAGAGGACCCAAAATTTCCAGGAGAGAAATTATTGAAAATTGGATTTATTGAAAATTTGTTTTTCCAGTACCCGCATGACCGCTGCCCAGTGCCTGAAACACAAATGGCTACAGAGACGCCCAAAAAGTCCACCCAAAGTCTCACCAAAACCCCTGACAATACCAGAGGCCTCACTCAAGGCCGCCACACCCTCACCCATACCGCCCAGCATTGATGGCGATCACAGTTCGGAGGCCAGCAATGAGAATGAGGAGAGTGGGTCTTTGACGGGGGTAAGTAAATTTAGATAAATAGAATAAAAGCTTTCCACATAAAAGCTTTATTTAGTCGAGACGTAGAGAAAAAAGCTTTCCAAAGGAGGTTCAGCCAGGATGTATAGAATGTTTTTTCCAGGGAAAGCTATATTCAGGCTGTGCATCATAGAAAAAGCTTTCATTTGGAAAATCGATCCAAAAATTTTCCCACGGAAAGATTTTTGTTCATCCAGGCTGGATAGAAGAAGCTTTTCAGTGGAGAGCTGTCTGGTCAGGCTGAATAGAAGAAGCTTCCCCCTGTTAAGCTTTATTCAGACCCGGCTGGATAGATGAAGCTTTCCCATGAAAAACTCTTTTCAGGCCGGCATCAGACCTGAAATAAAAAAAAGCTTTCCTATGGAGAGCTCTATTTAGCCGGGCTGAACAGACGATGTCCTGTAAAAATCTTTGAAATTTAAGCTTTTCATTAAAAGCTCTAAAAGAGTGAAACAAAATTCCATGTGAAAAGCTCTAATTCGAAGCTTTCATACGGAAGGCTTTCTATGACAAGCTTATGAAAGATCCTTGAACTGGACTGAATAAAAGCTTTCCTATAAAATCTCTATTTAGCCGGACTAAATAGAAGCTTTCCTAAGAAAAGCTCTATGAAGAAATAGAAGCTTTGATATGAAAAGCTCTATTCAGCCGGTCTAAAATAAGCTTTTTTATGAAAAGATCTATTCCGCCGGTCTAAAATAAGCTTTTTTATGAAAAGCTCTATTCCGCTGGTCTAAAAGAAAGCTTTTCTATGGAAAGCTCTATTCAGCCGGTCTGAAAAGAGGCTTTCATAGAAATCGGATTGAATAAAAGCTTTCCTATGAAAAGCTCTTTTCACCCGAGCTAAATGTAGCTTTCCCATGAAAAGCTCTATTTAGAAATAGACGCTTTGATATGCGAAGCTCTATCCAGCCGGTCTAAAAGAAGTTTTCCTATAAAAAGCCTTATTCAGCAGGGCTAAAATGAGCTTTTATAGGAAAAGCTCTATTCAGCCGGTCTAAAAAGAAGCTTTTCGTAGAAACCGTACTGAATAAAAGCTTTCCTATAAAATCTCTGTTCACCTGGGCTAAATAGAAGCTTCCCTTTGAGGCTTTGATATGAAAAGCTCTATCAAGCCGGTCTAAAATAAACTTTTTTATGAAAGCCGAGCTAAAAAGAAGCTTTTCTATGGAAAGCTCTATTCAGCCGGGCTAAATAAAAGCTTTTCCATGATTGAAAAGCTCTAATCTCCCTTCTGAATAAAGATTGAATAGACAGCTTTCCAGAAGCAATTTTCTATTTAGCCCGGTTAGATAGAGAGCTTTGCGAAGGAAGTTTCCATTCAGCCCGGTTGAAAAGAGAGCTTTCCGGAAGAAATTTTCTTACCGGATGAATAGAGAGCTTTCCACTGGACCGGCTAAATAGAGAGCTTTCCACAGAAAATTTCCTATTAAGAACGGCTGTATAGAGAGCTTTTCTCAGGAAAAGGCAAAGCTTTCCCACGAAAAGTTATATTCATGTCGGCCTTAAGGGCAAAGCTTTCCAATGCAAAAGCTCTATTTAGCTCGCCTTCTACAAGGCAAGCTGTGTTCAGGCTTAACAGGCTGAAAAGAAGATCTCCTATGGAAAGCTCTTTATTACCCAAGAAGAGCTCTTTTTAACTGGATTGAACAGAAAAGCTCTATTCAGACCGGACTAAGGAGAAGAAGATTTCCCATGGAAATTAGAAATATGTAGTCTAGAATGCTCTCTATTAAGCTGGGCTGAAAAGAAGAGTTTCTACGGAAAGCTCTTTTTTCCAAGCCGGTGCTGAATGGGAGCTTTTCTATGTAAACCTGTATTTAACCGGCCAGAATTTAAGATTTCCTACGAAAAGCTTTTTTTACGGAACTTTCTCTATTCATCCGGCCTAAAAAAAACGATTTCCATGGAAAGCTCCATTTAGCCCGGCTTAATTGAAGTTGCCCGAAAGCTTTTATTATTCAAATTACATATTCGTTTCCATTATGAATTTTAATTGAGAAAAGAATAAATCCGCTGCCTTTGGCCGGAGTTTTTTTGTCGCTGCTTTTATTTCCTTTTTTTTTTTTTGCTATTTTTTTAATCCTTTTTATGTCCTCCTCTTTTTTTTTGCCCCCACATGACAGACAAAGGAGCTGGATTCAACAAAAGATAATCTGAAAAACTTCATAGAACGCTGGGAGGAACATCCGAACAGTCCGTATGTTTTCGATGTCGAAGGAAATGTCATAGCCCCGCTCAGCGAGTCAGAGTACAAGAAAGTGAAGGCTCATGGCCCCGACAGCATATCATCGTCCAGAGGTGAGTACCGTATGACAGATAGGGCGAATGTGTCGCCTGCCTTAGCGGCGGCGGCGGCAGCCAACAGCGCCTGTGCCTCTGAGTCGGAATCTGAATGTGATTGTGCCTCTGCATTTGCCTGCTCTGCCCTGGCGCCCAACAAGAACAACAGCAATGCCAACATCAACACCAACAATTGCAATAACAAAAGAACAAGAACCGAACAAACGACACAAAAATCACCGGCAAATGTTGTGACAGTGTCAGTGGTGGTGTCGTCTGCCATACCTACAACAGCCACAGCAACAACAACAACATGCTCACAAAGACAGCAACAGCAACAACAAGAACAACAGCAACATTTAATAAGAAGCACATAGCGAACATGCCAAAGCAAATTAAAAACAAAAAGCAAACTCTTCCCACCTCCCTGGCCGGATAGCCGAGATCGTCTCCCCAACCCCGGAGACGGTCGCCTGCTATCCTTCCAGGGACTTGTTTTGGTTTGCTGTCTGTTATGTATTTATTATTTAAGCCAAAGATTAAGTTTAGTCGTTTAACTCTAAAGAAAAGGGAATCTATCCTCCCCACAACCTCCAACATCCTGCCTCTATGTTTTTCTTTTTTCTTTTGCAAAAACTAACCTCAATTTTCTGTGTTTCATTTCATGTAGATTTGTTATTATTTCTTGGCATTTTTTTATTACTTTCATCTTTCGTTCTCTATTATACTGTGATAAGTCTTACAACAACAATAATAAACAATTTTCTTTTTTTTTTTTTGTCATTTATATATGTGTAAGGAATCAAATTGAAAAGAAGGAAAAACGGCACAGAACACCGAACACAAGAAAAACTGTGAAATTAATAAAAAAAAAAAAAACAGAAAAATATTCATTGACAAATTTAACTTCCTTTTCTTAACACTTCTATTCTGCTATTCATTTCTTTTCTTAGTTTTGTTGTTGTCCTCTATATTTTGTTGTAGCAGGGTTTGGGTCAATGTTTTTCATATTTGAGGTAACCCAGCAAACCTTTATAAAACAGGCCTTTTTAAGGGCTGAATTGAAGTTTTCCTATGGAAAATCCCTATTCAGCCGGGGCTGAATAGCAATTTTCCTCTGGGAAAACCCCTATTCAGCCGGGGCTGAATAGCAATTTTCCTCTGGGAAAACCCCTATTCAGCCGGGGCTGAATAGCAATTTTCCTCTGGGAAAACCCCTATTCAGCCGGGGCTGAATAGCAATTTTCCTTTGGGAAAACCCCTATTCAGCCGGGGCTGAATAGCAATTTTCCTATGGGAAAACCCCTATTTAGCCGGGTTGAATAGCAATTTTCCCATGGAAAACCCCTATTCAGCCAGGCTGAATAGCAATTTTCCACGGAAACCCCTATTCAGCCAGGCTGAATAGCAATTTTTCTATGGGAAAACCCCTATTCAGCCAGGCTGAATAGCAATTTTCCTGTGGGAAAAACCCTATTCAGCCAGGCTGAATAGCAATTTTCCTGTGGGAAAAACCATATTCAGCCAGGCTGAAAAGCAATTTTCCTATGGGAAAAATCCTATTCAGCCAGGCTGAATAGCAATTTTCTTATGGGAAAAACCCTATTCAGCCGGGGCTGAATTAAAGTTTTCCTATGGAAAGCCACCTATTTCCTACGGAAAATCCCTATTCAGCCAGGGCTGAATAGCAATTTTCCTATGGAAAACCCCTATTCAGCCGGCGGCTGAAAAGCAATTTTCCTATGGAAAACCCCTATTCAGCCGGGGCTGAATAGCAATTTTCCAGGCTAAATAGCAATTTTCCAGGCTAAATAGCAATTTTCCAGGCTAAATAGCAATTTTCCTATGGAAAATCCCTATTCAGCCGGGGCTGAATAGCAATTTTCCTCTGGGAAAACCCCTATTCAGCCGGGGCTGAATAGCAATTTTCCTCTGGGAAAACCCCTATTCAGCCGGGGCTGAATAGCAATTTTCCTTTGGGAAAACCCCTATTCAGCCGGGGCTGAATAGCAATTTTCCTATGGGAAAACCCCTATTTAGCCGGGCTGAATAGCAATTTTCCACGGAAACCCCTATTCAGCCAGGCTGAACAGCAATTTTCCTATGGGAAAACCCCTATTCAGCCAGACTGAATAGCAATTTTCCTATGGGAAAACCCCTATTCAGCCAGGCTGAATAGCAATTTTCCTGTGGGAAAAACCCTATTCAGCCAGGCTGAATAGCAATTTTCCTGTGGGAAAAACCATATTCAGCCAGGCTGAAAAGCAATTTTCCTATGGGAAAAATCCTATTCAGGCAGGCTGAATAGCAATTTTCCTATGGGGAAAACCCCTATTCAGCCAGGCTGAATAGCAATTTTCCAAAGGAAAACCCCTATTCAGCCGGGGCTGAATAGCAATTTTCCTTTGGGAAAACCCCTATTCAGCCGGGGCTGAATAGCAATTTTCCTTTGGGAAAACCCCTATTCAGCCGGGGCTGAATAGCAATTTTCCTATGGGAAAACCCCTATTTAGCCGGGCTGAATAGCAATTTTCCACGGAAACCCCTATTCAGCCAGGCTGAACAGCAATTTTCCTATGGGAAAACCCCTATTCAGCCAGACTGAATAGCAATTTTCCTATGGGAAAACCCCTATTCAGCCAGGCTGAATAGCAATTTTCCTGTGGGAAAAACCCTATTCAGCCAGGCTGAATAGCAATTTTCCTGTGGGAAAAACCATATTCAGCCAGGCTGAAAAGCAATTTTCCTATGGGAAAAATCCTATTCAGGCAGGCTGAATAGCAATTTTCCTATGGGGAAAACCCCTATTCAGCCAGGCTGAATAGCAATTTTCCAAAGGAAAACCCCTATTCAGCCGGGGCTGAATAGCAATTTTCCAAAGGAAAACCCCTATTCAGCCGGGGCTGAATAGCATTTTTCCTATGGAAAACCCCTATTCAGCCGGGGCTGAATAGCAATTTTCCTATGGAAAACCCCTATTCAGCCGGGGCTGAATAGCAATTTTCCTATGGGAAAACCCCTATTCAGCCGGCAATTTTCCTATGGAAAACCCCTATTCAGCCGGCAATTTTCCTATGGAAAACCCCCATTCAGCCAGGCTGAATTGAAATTTTCCTATGGAAAACCCAGTTCTGCCAGGGCTGAATTGATGTTTTCCCACGGAAAACCCCATTCCTACAGAATTTCAAATTTTTTTTTTGTCGAAAAGGTTTGCTGGGTTTCTTCTTCTCCTCTGATATTTCAATCTTCTTAGTTCAGCTTATATTTCTCCAATGTCTCCTTCCCCCTTCGTCTCTCTCTCTCTCTCTCTGCGTTTGTTATGTGTCATGTATGTATGTGTTGTAATCCACGAAGTGTATATGAGTATGGAAGGATAATACTTTGTAAGCTCTCCTTAAGCGCCTTATGCATAATTTTGTTTTAAACACAGCGCAACGCTGCTGCTGCTGCGACACTATCATGCACGGATTCCACGTCAACCACATCAGCGAACGAAGGCAAATATTTTCATCATCTTCTTCTTCTTCTTCATCATCATGCAAGGGATTCATGACCGAGCTACTGCCACAAATAAATCTGTGTAAAAGGAAAAATATTTAATTTCGATTTGAGAAAAAAAAGAAAAATTCTGGCGCTTCATGAAGGGACACTGATTGCAGGCAAGGATTTCTGCTGGAATTTCCCTCCCTAGTGAGGCTCCTTTGGCCTCCCATCTTCTCTATGTGTGTCCGTTGTCCTTTCAGTCGGCCAAATGACATACCGATGGCTTTTTTTCTCTCTCTCCCTCTCTTTGGCTTTCCTTGCTCCCTGATGGTTGCTACTGATTTCATTTGTTGTGTTTTCTTTTTCAATACTGGTTCGCCATTTTTTGTTTATCTGGGTCGTAACTATTGTATGTGTGATCTTTATCTATGAATCATGTCCTTCTTCTCTTCTTACTCTTTTTACCCCTTGTCTGTTGCTATTTCCTGTGGATTCTTAAAGTCTTTAAAGATATGCAAATTGGAACGCAATTGCTGCCGAACATTCTCTAGGGTCCAGTTACCCAGCAATCCTTAGATAAGTCACCAAAGTCCTGAACAAAAAAATTATCTTCTCATTTAACAAAAAACAAATCCGCTGCCAAAGCTCAAGGATATCTGTCAATCTGTTCGTTCACACCCAATTGTCCAAATAACAAAAAACACCATTCAGAATCAAATCAGAACAGAAAAAAACCCGAAACTCGGAAGGTAAGCTTTTTTCAAATTCTAAAAAAAATCTAATTTTGTTTTTGTTTGACTTCTGGATTTTGGCACATTTTATTTGGCTCAAAGGCACACACACCCACACAAAATTCTGCAAAATGCACCCAAGTTCACTCACTCACGCACACACATACATACACACACACATATACCCACCAAGAATTAGCAACTGTAAAATTGAGAAAATGAATCTGCAGAGTAAAGTTTGTCCTTCATCTCATGAGTTGTTATTTTCTGAAAGCTTTCATGGCCTCAAATTGGTGAGATCGATTGCAAAAACTTGGTTGGCTAGAATGGCTTTGGCTTAGAAAAGCTTGGTTCATTGGTTGTATTTTGGCAAAGCTTCATTTCGAACTTAAAAGCTCCACAGATTTTCATCTTTATGTTTCATTTATTATAAGTCATAACAATAAAAGCTTTGAAAGCTTTCCATTTAAGCTTAAATATAAGAATTCCAAAAGGAAAGGCTCTCTATACAACCGGGCTAGATAGAAGATTTCCTCTAGGAAATTTTCTAGTTAGCCCGGACTGAAAGCTCTCTAGTCAGCCCAGGCTGAAAATAATATTTCATCTTGGAAAGCTCTCTATTCAGCCCCGGCTAAATAGATGATTTTCTCTTGGAAAGCTCTCTGGTCAGCCCGGGCTGTATAGAAGATTTGCTCTTAGAAAGCTCTCTAGTTAGCCCGGGCTGAATAGAAGATTTCCTCTTTGTTAGTCAGCACGGGCTGAATAGAGAATTTCCTCTTCGAAAGCTCTCTAGTCAGCCAGGGCTGAATAGAAGATTTCTTATGGAAAGCTCTCTAGCTCTTCCTCTTGGAAAGCTCTATATTCAGCTCCGGCTGAAAGCTCTCTCTTCAGCCCTGGCTAAATTTATGCTTTCCTCTAGGAAAGCTCTCTAGTCAGCCCGGGCTGAATAGAAGATTTCCTCTTGGAAAGCTCTCTAGGCAGCCCGGGCTGAATAGAAGATTTCCTACCGGAAAACTCTCTAGTCAGCCCGGGCTGAATAGAAGATTTCCTCTTGGAAAGCTCTCTAGTCAGCCAGGGCTGAATAGAAGAATTCCTATGGAAAGCTCTCTAGTCCTCTTGGAAAGCTCTCTAGTCAGCCCGGGCTGAATAGAAGAATTCCTATGGAAAGCTCTCTAGTCAGCCCGGGCTGAATAGAAGATTTCGTTTGGAAAGCTCTCTAGTGAGCCCTGGCTGAATAAAAGATTTCCTCTTGGAAAGCTCTCTGGTCAGCCCGAGCTGAACATTTCCTAATGGAAAGCTTTCCCTCTATTCATCCGGACTGGATAGAAGAGTTCCTCTAGGAAAGCTCTCTATCCAGCCGGGATGGACAGTCAGCCCCGGCTGAAAGCTCTCTCTTCAGCCCCTCCTAAATTGATGATTTCATCTTGGAAAGCTCCCTATTTAGCCCCGGCAGAATAGAAAATTTCCTAATGGCTGAATAGAAGTTTTCCTCTTGGAAAGCCGGACTCTGAATAGGAGGTTTGTGATTGGAAAGTTCTGTAGGAAGAAGCTTTCCTTTGGAAAGCTTTCTATGAAAAAAGCTTTGTATGAAAAAGCTTTCCTTTGGAAAGCTCTTTATAAAAAGCTTTTCGATACAAAGCTCTCTACGAAAAAAGCTTTCCTATGGAAAGCTCTATTCAGCCGGCTAAATACAACAAGCTTCTCATCTCAGATGTTCTAACTCTCTATATCTCTCTCTTCCACTCTCCCTCTCTCTCTCTCTCTCTATATATATATCTCTCTCTCTCTCTTATCACTCTCATCACCTCATAAACTCTCATTCTCTTGATCTTTTAAATTTTGTCTCTTGGCTCTTGTAGATATGTCCTTCAGAGGATTGTTTGCTTTTGTGTTTTTTAATTTGGCTTTGAAATTTCAGAACACAACGCTTGGCTGTACAAATACACAGTTTTTAAAAAATGAAATATTTAATTTTGAAATTATTTTTTTTAATTTTTAATAATTTTTTTCTTTTTGTTTTAGTCTGCTCTCCATCGCCCTGCGAATCCCTGGACACGGTCACCGATGACGAATCCTATTTGTCCGAGTTCAATAACATCGATGAACCCCCCACACCCATTAATGAGTCACGTGAACATTTGTTCCCCACCTCGGCCAGTGGCGCTGCCACTCCCACTCCTCAGAGTTTCAATATGGCCAATCCCTTCAGCAGCAGGGTTGATGAGCTAAACGGCTCGACAATGAATTTGCAGCAACGCTCTCTCAAATCCTATCTTCATACATTCGATCGTCGTAATTCGGATACCAATTATTTGTTGGGACGCCGATCGTCGGGTGAGCGTGTCAATTTGGCTGATGAAATTAAAAAACTCTCCGATCATCTGCTGATGTTGGCCCAAATCAATACGAAATTCAATAAGGAGGCGGCAGGAGAAAAGGATGCGGAGGATGAAGGAACAGAAAACGAGAAGGAGAAGAAACCCAAAACCAAAAAGGGCACCGGGGAAAAGAAGAAGACCTCACCCAAGACCTCGGAGAGTGAGAAAGCTACAAATACAAAAGAGAAAGAAGGCAAAACCTCGGCCAAGGCTGGCAAAACTTCAACAACAACAACTACCTCAAAGAAAACCCTGGAAGGTTCAGTGACCTCCAACAACACCACAACCACCAGCACCAATACCACTTCAACCTCCACCACCAACAATTTCTTCAGCAACCTCAATCCCGGCAAAAGCCGAACCAGCAATCTGTCCTGGCGCCTACAACAGTCCATTGAGGAGACACCCAAATTGAACAGCAACAGCACCTCACGAAAGTCTTCGGTCAGCACCATGACAACTGGTAATGCCAAAAACTCATCGTCCGCCGATCGTTTCCAAGAGGCGGCCAGCATAAAACGTGCCAAATTCCGCATCAGTCAAATGAGTCGCGATGTCCCTGTCGGCCTGCCCAATACACATCAGGCAGTGAATTTGGAAGAGGCTGCCAATAATACCAAAGATTGTTTGCTACATCTGCTCGAAAAATACAATGAGTCAAAGACCCGCAATCCGCTGGGCAGGCATCAAAGTATTGGGGCCATCGATTGGAATGTTAGCGACAATTTGGAATATCGTTCGATGAGCTCCATTAATGCCTTCTTTCAGCGTCACAACAACAGGGGAAATATGGTTAAACAATTGCAGCAGCAACTCAAGGAAAAGACAGGTGGCGGGGCAACTAACTAAGAGCTGTAGTCCTTAGAGAAACTTTTTAAGATGTGTCCTGGTTTAGGATTTGATTTCATTTTTTTTTTTTCGTTTCCAAACAAAATACTCTTAGCCTAAAATTGTTAAATGTAAACGCTTGCTAATATGTACTCTTAATTAGCAAAGAGGGAGAAGAAGAAAAACATTATTTGTAAATTTAAGCTTTTTTGTTTTTTGTTTTTATTTTCTATGTTAATTTTATTTATTTATTAAATAATTTTATTTATTTATTTTATCAAATTAAAGAGAAAAATTAGTTTTGTAAATAAAACAAAATTTTTGAAATGTGTAAACGTTATTTGTTTTATTAAAAACCCATGAACATTGCCAAATCACTTGGGAGAGGCAAAGAGAAAAATCTAAAAGGAAAAAACTTTGAGTTAAAGAGAACATACACATACTAAATCGGAAATAAAAGTGAGTCCACAGTTTAGCCGATTTAGTAAATTTAATTTAATTTTCCAATTAATTTTCCTATATAAACGTTAAATAAGTTCTCATAAAGGTTAGCCAAGCAAAAACTGTAATGTAAACGTAATATTATAGTATATATTAACCTTGGATTTAAAATCTACTGTATTTCGTCTATTAAAACTTGTTTTAAGCAGTGGTGCTCAAAACCGTGTTCTAGAACATGAAGAGAAAAAAGAGATAATTTAAGAGAAAATTAAAATTCTGTTTTTCTTTATATTTTACGGTTCTATTTAATTGTTTTTAAACACGAATGTTTGCCAAAATAATTTATAAAGCAAATGGATAAAAAATATTTGTATAAATAATGACTTAACACTGTTTTGTTCTTGATTTAAATAAGCAAAGAGAAATTTGACTGAACAGAGATATTTTTTCTTGAGCACCCCTGTTTTAAGGCAGCGTCAAGCAAATACACTCACTTGTGCTCTCTGCAAATGAATTACTCTCACAGTGTGGAGTCGACAAACACACAATTAGAACCATTGAAAACAATTAATCAAAGAGTAATGCAATAAAGAGCGCCTCTCTTTCCGTCTCTGCTTTAAGGTTGGTCATTGTAACACGAGAGAATTGTTAAATCTCTGGGAGTCAAATTAAATGTAAACAAACACCAAAATATCCATTACTGTAATGCTGTATTAAGAGTTCGTTTAGCAAAGCCAATCACCCACCATTACGGCATTGCCATACCAAACATTTTTGTCACATACTTTTGCTTGGGCATTGCCACGCCATATTTAATATCAACAGCATGGGATCGATAACGATAGTTTTTTATTATCGGGTTTGTGTCTGCAATCGCTAATGCATTGTTGGATTGTGTTCGCACTTGTTTATTGAAGAAAAATAATAAATTTTAACACCACAAAGTTATTTACTTAGCCTTCAGCGGATAATTTTAATTTTTTATACCAGGTAGGTATTTTTAACCTGAAGGAATTATGCGCTTACATGTTAATTGATCTGAATGTTCGGATATGGTTTTTATGGAAATACTTATCCAACAAGTGGTCATATGATGGTATTGTTTAAACGGGGGAACCCATAATAGAAGAATATAGGTAGATGCATTAACGCTTGGGAACATTGATATGTCAACAAATTTAAAATGTTTTGTCAAAAAAAGTAGATTTTTATATGTTTTATTATAAGACGCAATTCGGTTGTTATAATATGTATTTTCCAGATTTCAGTAATTTTTCATTCAACATTTTCAATTTCAAAATCGGTTTGACAGTTCATTTTCCCAGCAGCTGTGTCGATGCGACTACCTATAAATATACAGGACAATTTATATTTTTATGCCCTCCACCATAGTATGCTTCTTCAACTCCTCAAGGTACACATGATCTTTATCAGAATAAAAATCTATTTCGATTTAATGATGACCGTCCGTCCGTCTGTGGAAATCACTGTAGCTTCTGAAGGAATTAAAGTAGGTTAATAAAATTTTACTCAAACGTATACTATGTCTGCAGGACTTTTGGTATTGAAAATGGATCATGTAGGTCCACGTTTTGGTATAGCCCCCATATAATGTTACCTCCCTATTTACGGTATTTTGATGATTTTAGCGACATTATTCACCGAAATTGTTTCAAATTTGGTATTTGAAGTTCGTAATGGATACTACAGCCAGTGACAGAAAATTGACAATGCAGGTCCACGTCTTCGTATAGCCCCCATATTTTGATGATTTTAGCGACATTTTTCACCGGAATTGTTTCAAATTTGATATTTGGGTTCAGATTTGGATATAGCTCCCATATATAACTTCGTCCGATTTACCTTTTATTGTGCATCAAACGTCTAATATTTGCCCAAATGGGATGGAATTTGGCACATACGACCGAATTTAGTCTAGAAGGTAGTATGTCAAATTTGGTGAAGATCGGTTCAGATATAACTATAGCTCCCATACATAATGTTCATCCGATTTGTTGTATTTGTTACCCACAACCGTAATATGCACTCCGTAACAACGATATTCAGGGAAATATATCAAATGCAGCTCAGAAATACCTTTGCTAAATTTTATTGAGATCGGCTCAGATTTGAATATAGCTCCCATGTATATCTTTATCCGATTGTACACCAAATGGGCAATGCAAGTCCGAATTTAAAAGATACAAATGCTTCGGCATATTTAGTCTTTAGAACTTTATATTATTTATAATCATAGCGTGTATGATTGAATTCTCCCATAAAAAATTTTAGTTGTTATGTGGAGCTCTACTAAATTAGCAAAGTGGTGTAGGGTATCATAAAGTCGGCCCCGCCCGACTTTAGGACTTTCTTTACTGGTTTTAATTTGCTTCGTATTCTTTTTATATATTTTTTTAATTTTAATATTTTTTTCTTTTATTATTTATTTATTTTTTTGTTATTTTTTTAATTTTTTTCTTTTTTTTTAATTATTTTCTTCTTTATTTTGTTATTTCTTTAATTGGTTTCTTTTTTGTTATTTCTTTAATTTTTAATTTTTTGTTATTTATTTTTATTTATTCAATTTCCATTTCATAATACCGAAGCCTTCAAGGCCAATAAATAGTATTAACAATATAAAACATTCCTGAGTAAACTTAAAACTAATAACAATATCCATAACAAAAATAATTTAGTTTTTTTTCTTTTTTTTATTTATTTATTTTTTTTTTTGTTATTATTTTTTTAATTGTTTTCAATTTTTTCTTTGTTTTAATTATTTTCATTTTTTTGTTATTTCTTTTATTTTTTTCTTTTTTATTTTTTTCTTTCCTTTTTTTGTTATTTTTCTTTTTTATTTTTTTCCTTTTTTTCTTTTTAAATTTTAAATTTTATTAATTTCTTTAATTTTATTGAACTCCCTCGAAGCATATTACATTTAGTGTTTCATTGCCGATAGATATCTCAACAAAGAGATAATAAAATACTGCTACCACCACTGCATGCTGCAGTGTCACTCGCCGTCGAACGCATGCAACGTCCATCAAACCGCCAACCAATGAATAGATACAATTTTGTTTATTGCTCTAGATAAGAGGAGTTTTTCTTCTTTAGTAACTGGAAAATGCATGCATGTGACGGAACAAAAAACGTGGATGAGAAAAAACCTCTGAATATGGACAAAGTCGTTCGTACAACGAGCCATTGTGTGGAAACAACAGAAATCCACCACCACGTGCATATCTGTTCGTTGGTTGGTAGAGCATTTTCTATTGTCGCTTTGAGATAAGAAATGTTTGAATGTGCTTGGGATGGCCATCAATGTTGCCGCTGTGGGTTACTTTCAGACACATTTTTAAATGAATTGAAGAAAATTCGAAATCAACACATTTTTTGAGGAAAATTTGAGGTTAGGTGGAGTTGGAAATGGTGTTGGAAATGTTGTTGAGGAAAAGGAGTTTTTGGTTTCCATTTTACCTTTATAATACTTACATGATACATGGTAATAATTCCCAGATAATTTTGGGTTCTCGAAAAGGTTTACTTTCTAATCCTAGGGGACCCTCTTTTGAGTCAAGTTCTAAATTGGGGAAACTTTCCCGGCATCCTTGTAGAATTCACAAGCAGACTATGACGATTCACCATCATAACTACATCTCTTTCCCTTTGAAAATGAAACAGCATCGGAGTTTTAAGTTTTTTTCTCTCTCTAGGATTTGTTGGTGTGTATTTGTATTTGTTGTTATATAAGTTTTCTTTTCAATTAAATTTTGTTTTGGGTTTTTTCTTTCAATTTTCTTATAATTACAGTTATACAAAGTTATATTTAAACATAAACAAATATATTTATGGGGATGGTATAAACTATTTTTGTTTTTAATACAAATTAGGGAGGGGAGGGAGGGGGGTATTGGATAGATGTTTAAATGAATGATGCAGTAGCAAAAAATATTGAAGATTGTAGGTTTTGAAAATGATGTGTAAAATTAAATGGGATTTTGTTCTTCCTCTCATTTTTTTTCAAATCAAGAATTAAAAATAATGTGTATTTTTTTGCAAAACAAAAAACAAAAATGCTTTAAATGTTATAAAAAATTCTTTTGTTTGTTATATTTCTTAGATGCATATGTATATATATTTTTTGCAATATAATTAGTTCATTTGTTATAAAAATGTATGGTATTTATTACTAAAATTATAGTAGTATAAATAAGGAAAAAAATAAAAGGCTCTGCCTACCAAAAAAAAATTATACAATTTACAAGGGAAGGGGAAGGGGAGGGTGAATGGGGTCGGGGAGAGTGCTTAGGGAACAAGTTGTTGGCTTTCAAGCCCCCTTCATAAACAAGGCCTGAAAGCAAAGAACTTTTTCTAATTTTTAGTTAAGGCAAAAATTCCATTAAATTTTCGAAATGATTTTCCAAAATTCAAGGAAATTTTTTTAAAAAGTATTTTTTTAGAATTCTTTAAAGAGTTTTACAAAATTCAAATGAAATGATGGGGGAAATACACTTCAATGTGGAATTGAAATGACAAAAAAAAACATCACAAAAATATGAAATTTTTTCAAAAGAAAAAAGGTTTCGAAAGGGATTTAAATTAAATACTTTTCAGTTAAAAAAAAATTTACAGAAAATGTGAAAAAATTCGAATTTAAGAAAATTTCAATAGTTTGCAAAGTTTTTAAATTTTTCGGAAAATTTTTAAATATTTAAAAAAAATTGTGAAATAATTAGAATTCAAGAAAATTTCAATATTTCGGAAAATTCGTAAATATTTAAAAAAATATATGGAATTTTTTCTTGAAAAAAATTTTAACAATTTTTTGGAAAAAAATTGAAATATTTTTGGAAATTTTTTTAATTCTTTTGAAAAATTTTAAATATTTTTAGTTACTTGTTTCAAAAGCATTGAAATGTTTTACGAAAAAGTTTGGCTTTTTTTTTTGAAAAATTTTGAAAATTTTTTTTCAAAAAAAAAAAAAAAAAAACTATTAAAAATTTTAAAATTGTTTAAAGAATCATTAAATATTTTTTAGGAATTGTTTACAACTTCAATTACATTTTTTTAAATATTTCGGAAAATTCAAAAATATTAAAAAAAATGTGAAAAATTAGAATTTAGGAAAAATCCAAGATTTTGAAATTTTTAAAATATTTTGCAAGATTTTTAAATATTTAAAAAATATCTAATTTTTTCTTAAAAACAATTTAAGAATTTTTTAAAAATATTGAAGTATTTTTGGAAAATTGTTGATTTTTTTTTAAATATTTTTGAAAAAAATTTTGAATATTTTTTAGTTAATTGTTTGAAAAGCATTGAAATGTTGTACAAAATTTTGAAATTGTTTAAAAATATTAAATTATTTTTAGAAATTGTTTACAACTTCAATTCCATTTTTTTTCTTGTGTTTTTGAAAAAATTTCAAGTTGTTGGGATATTTTTTTAGGGAGGCTTAATTTCCCCGCTACGATTTTGTAAAACCCTAAAAGAATTCTTTAGGGGTAAAAGAAGGGGCCGGAGGAAGGGGGTTGGGGATTTGATAATTTACAATGTTTTAGTTTGTACTTCAAAAGGATTTGGTTTAAGGTATTGGGTGAAAAAGAAAATTTCAACAATTTAAAAAAATACAATTCTTGAAATTTAGATTTTTTTATATAAAAAAATTGTAAATTTCAAAAAAAAAAGAGGGATAAAATTGTTAAAATTTTCCATAAGGAAAAATAATGGATTTTAATGGTTCAAAGAGTCTGGCAATTGTTGTGTTTTTTTGGAACAAAAAACAAAGGGTTGGAATATTATAACATATGAGATCAATAGCCAACTCTTTTGCCTTTGTTTCGGTATTAAACAAAATCAATTGCCAAAGTCTTAGGTTAAGGAAAATTCATTCGACTTCAAGTTTTTGGGAGTTTGGGGGATTTGGGGTGGAGAAACTTAAATGCTAAATTGTTCATATGCCTTAAAATAGTTAAGGATAATACCCCCAAAGGGTATTGGGAACTTATCATCTAAAGTAGCTTATAATTAATTAATAACTAAAAAAAGAACTTAGTTTATGGCATTTAGTTTTTCGTGTGTGTGTGTGGTTGGTAATAGTGTAGTTTTGGGTGTGAATTTCCTGGGTAAAGAAAAAAATAAAACTTTTTTCTGTTGGGGGGTATAGGAAATTTTGTTGTTGGATTAATCCATTGTTGTTGTTAGGGGGGTAAAATTTCCTCAGTGTGTTTGTTATGATTGGTAATATTTTCAGATGATTGCAATCAATTTCCTTACAAACTAAGTATACACGCTAGCTGCTGGATGGTTTTAATTGTTCTTTAGTTTTTTTTTTTTTTTGTGTTTCCTTAATGCTGCTGACGTGTTCTTAGTGAAAAATGCGCTGCTATGCTGTTGGCATTTACGGCATGGCTGACCGATGAGGAGCCGGAGGAGGTGCGCATACGCTTGGCAGGGGATACTTTCTTGGGGGTTTGAGCCAAACGTTTACGTTCTTTCATGTATTCTAAAAATAGAAAAAAAGAAAACAAAAAAGGGATTAGTGGAAATGTATTACATAACAAAAACACACACATGGGTTTGTAATGTGATATTTTCCTATAAGCAATTAGAACTAGGATCCTAAGAAGATCTAATAAGAAATTAGAGAAAAAAGACCTCATGCTGTTTACATTTCAAAAAAAGAAAGAAAGGACTAAAATCAATTAAAACCCTAGGCATAGTTTTGTTCATCCCCAAAGAAATTTGGTATTTTTCTCATACCCGACTGACCTGCCTTGTCGTGTGTTTGCTTAAACGTCACTGAACCTCTTTCGAATACATCCCTTATGCCTCTACATGCATAGTTGTTGTATTAGCAAATATTTTAAGGCAGGGGTACCTTCGAATGGCACGCGTTCGGCACAGGACCAAATTAAGTATACAAAAACAACAAATCCATAGATTCAGAGGACAGTTTTCACAGACATGGAGACAAATACGAATTAATCCCCAAATTGCAAACATGTCTTTCCTTTACTACATTTGAAGTTTCAAAAACTCCCCTAAAGTATGTAACTACTGATCCTGCTCTATCCCTCAATCTTGCTTGAAATGTCAAAAATTCCAAATTTCCATAATTTGATAAGGGCTGTTTTAAGGCCTAGGTAAATTTTCTTTTCCAAACATCTGTTATAAATGAAAAATCCTGAAAAGCTAAAACCAGGCAACCCCATAAACATCTGTTCACAATTCTTTGCTTGCCACGGGATGAAAGATTTTCCAACAAGATCATTACCACAAAAGCAAAAAAATCATCTATCAAAAACACGCACATCACCACGGAATGGCACAGGCAGTGGACAATGGATAAGAGGGGTTGATGGCCAAACACAAGAGCCTTACAAAGCATAGCTGAAATAAAAGGGGAAGGTTTGCCAACTACCTTACATTTTATGGGGGTTCATTTTGTGCCATACAACACACAGCTGGGCTTCCAAATCAAAAAATAAAATCACTTGTGCTTTAGATTTGAATTTTTAGAGATATCAAACAACAGCAACAAAACAAGCTATGTAGAGAGACAGAAAAACAACCCTTTTTGTTTTGCCATGGATATTTTTGAACCATGCCAGAAGGATCGCTATCTACTGGCAGACAAATATGTGCCAAACCTTGAAACGGAAATGAAAATAATAATGAAAGCCATTAAATCAGAAACCGCAAACAAAAGGTAGGTAGGTACAACGCCTACACGCAACGAGAACTTTACTCCCCCAAAATAACTTGTATTGTTTGCTGGCTCGACCGTTACTAAGGCTTGGCTTGAAACAAGAAAAAAAAACCCTCCCAAAAACCGTTGAATATTGAACTTTTTTTTTTTTAGAGGGTGGAAATTTAGAGTATCGATCGTTATGGGAAATTAATATTTTAATATCGATTTCCCACACTTGTTTTCCTGGCGAAATTACTCTATTTCCCAAAAATATACGTTACTCTTTTTTCTCGGTCCCTTAATTGAAGGTGTTTAGGTTGAGGAAATAACATTTCAAGGTTGATTGCTTGGGAATAAGGTGTGGGAATGAAGGGGGGAAAATGTTGAAAATCTAGTAACTGTATGTAGATGTAATGAAGAGGGATTTGAATCACAAATTTTGGATACTAATCTGAAGTAATTAGAGGTGTAATTCAAAATGTTGAAAATAATTGCTTGGGGAAAGTTTGACGGTCGAATTTTAATTGCAAGATATAACTGCGCAAGTAGTTTCTGGTCTTCAAATCAGGGAAATCTGATGCTTAGAATTCTATAATTGCTAAGCCTTGAAATGACTTTTTCAGATAACATTTGTAGTTGAGGGGTAATCAAGAATTGGGATTTTTGAAGTCTTTCTTTTGATTCTAAACTAAACTTGTCCTCAAATCGCGGAAATTTAGTGTTTTCAATTCTATATTAAATTTGTCCTTAAATCGCGGAAATTTAGTGTTTTCAATTCTATAACTGCTATGTTTGAAATTAGTGTTTAGGTGAAGTTTTGCTGTTGAGGGGAAAAAATATTGCGTCTTGAATTCTATAATTGCTAAGTCTTTGAAATAACTTTTTCCCTTAAGTTTTCCTGTTGAGGATTAATTAAGTTCCCATCAAAAAATTGGGATTCTTGAACTCTACTCTTTCGGTTCTAAACAAATCTCATCCTACAATTATCAAAATTTCCCAAATTAAAATCAAATATATATCGATTTCAAATATTTACCTGTAATCTTGGGCTGTCTCTTGCGCAAGTGTGTTTTGCGTGGCACAAAGACACTGGTTTCGGCGTTATTGGGACCAGCAGGAACTTTGAACTCAACCATGGACTCATCTTGGCTATCATCGCAGGAATCTGTATCGGTGGCAGCTGAGGTCTGTGACAAATTGAATTGATTTTCACGTTCGGCCCGCTCATCCATTAACATTTCCAAATTGGTTTTGGGTGCAGGGGTGGGGCGGACATGAGCGGCCCGTGTCAGGGTGTACATTTCGGGGGCGATTTGATTTTCCTGGGTGGAAACACGTTCCCAAATGTACTGTGAATTGGCCGACAATGGTGATCCGGTACGGAAGTCAAAACCCCATTTGCGGGAGGCTCTTTCTTGGCATTTTTCCAATTCCTCATTGAAGATTCTACACAAAACACAATACGTTAGAGACGATACTTAAGGAAGAAGATTTGGGAATAAAATATTTAACTTACTTTGTGGTTTCAACGGGATTGGCAGGACCAAAGAGATCCCTTTTAATGCGATTCAACTGGCGTCCACATGTCATGTTGCTGCGCATAGCCACTGGGCTGCTGGAGATTTTACAAATCATGGGATTCAATACACGGGCTGCAGACATTTTTGCGTTTTGTTTTTGTTGTTTTCCTTATTAATCAGGCGTTTGCAAATTGTTTTTAATTATTATTTTATTTGTTGCACTTGTATGGCTGCTTTATTGTTTCTTCCAATAATTTTGTTTTTTTTACGATGTTTTTTTGCGTCTTTGCTTTTTTCTATGGTGGATCTGTCAAATTTTGGCGCCAAAATCACTGACAATTTCCCCAACCAACAAAGCTTTTACTCCACCTTGCACGTACAGTTGTCAATGCTCCAATTTAAAACAGCAACAACAAATTTGACATTTATGCGTAAGCAATGTTGCACTCACAAGTGGCACGAACGACTCTCTTGGCGAAACACGTTAATTAAAGGAAAACAAATGTAAATGTTTTTCTTTTAATTATGCACAATTGTTATTTGTGTTTTTTTATTGCCAAAATTGTTTATTTTCTTTAATTAATTTATTTTTAATAGTTTTTTCTTTCTTTTTTGAAAAGCCCTGTTTTCTGTTATTTATATTCTTCTGCTCTCTCACAATGCTTTGTTTCACTCTCACACTGTTACTCTTTCTTCTATGCTTTGACACAATGTTAATGTTAACAAAATTTAATTTGTTTTCCAAGGTTTTTTTATTTATATTACGAAAATATAACAATGTTTGCTCAAAATGCAATTGCAAAAAATGTAATATTTTATTAAATTTCGTTTAAAAAACGTTTATAAAATGTTTTGTCGAATTAATTTTTCTTTCCTTTAGCGTAGCGCAAGAAATGTTGTCAACTCGACAATAGTTTCTCTCAAACTGATTTGACATTCGTTGTCTGGCATTCTTACTTGCCATCGCACGAAGTCAAAACTGGGATGAGAGCGAGAGCCCAGCAACAACAAACACACACAACAATAATGCAAGCGAACACAAACGAAGAAAAAGAAACCCCCAAAATGAAAACAAAACCAAATGAGAAATGAAGCAAACGAAACATTGAGCCAGCAATTGTTTGGTGGAGTTTCGTTCTTTTTGTTTGTACTCTCTCTCAATGTATTGATTTCTCCCTTGCTCTCTTTCTCTGGCTTACAAATGGAAAAGGCAGGCAACGAAACCAATTGCCGTTGCAGCGATGCAACTTCTCTGCTGCGTTCTGCATAAATTACAGTGGGGAAGGTCATATAAAAGTGGTTAAACTGTTTTTAAAGGTCATTGGAACTTAGAATTTTTAAATCGTAATGATATTAATGTAATATTAAAGGCATATTTAATACAAAATGGGTTATATAAATGCAAAAGTTTAATAAAAATAGAAAATTTAAAAAAATACTTAACATTTTTGTTGGAAAAGTCAATAAGATATTTTATAATTGACAAAACTCTTTACCAAAAATACTCAAGCAAAAAATGTTAAAATAAAATTTTGGAATTGAAATGATTTTAATACAATATTTTTGACTTATATAAGCCAAAATTGGTTATATTTATGAAATTACAAATAGGAGTTTAATAAAAAAAGATAAACGGATTGAGAAAACCCAGTGGGGTACCTATAACAATATTAATTTTTGGAATATATTAGCTCAACTATTTTTAAAGATTTTCTAAATAAAAAAAGCTATCATCAAAAAATTAAAAAATATTAATTTTTTTACCATATTCATATTTAAAATATTTAGCTCATTCGTTTGAAATTTCGCATAATTAGTTTTCATTTTATTTATTTACTAAAATCTTAGGAAGAATATTCCTAAATTTCTCCAAAACATTTGTAGTTTGGTTAAAATTTGGCTGCGGAGGAATAAAAAATTAAAAAAAATAGATAAATTCAAAAATGTTTTTCAACGGTGGATATTTTTTTTCATACCTGAAATATTCAGAAATCGTTAAGAAATTCGGAAAATTTGTATTATTTTTATTTACTAATTCAAATCTAATGAAGAATATTGCCAAATTTCTCCAAAAACATTTATATTTTGGTGTAAATTTGCCGGCGGGGGAAGAACAGATACCTCAATCTAATAGAATTTGGAAAAAAATATTTATAAACTGGGAAAAAATCTACCTATTCACCTCCGTTTCGTGTCGTGTAAGACGTATGAAAATCTTTTTAAGTTTGGAAAAATATTTTACAAATTTTGACATATTAATGTTCCCAAGCGTTGATGCATCCTCATGTATTCTTCCAGGCCACGGCTTTTTCCCAAGAAGCCTACAGCTACAGGACCAAACGAATTAAGTCCAGTTATTGATAACGTCTGAAAAAAAAAAAAACATTTCTCTGACCAAGTACCAAGTGATGGAGCAATTTTCAATATTATGGGATATATATGAATAATCGGGTTTCTGGTTGAGATAAATATTTGGATGTAGCAAGTTCTACAGAATCGCTCCATTGCTTCGCAAGTTATGACAGATAAAAGTATTGAAAATTTTGACCCTTTGTGGGTGAGGTAGAGGGTTAGCAGATATATATCACCTTCACAACAGATTTTGCGTTAGAAAAATGTTTGGGTGTGTAAAATTTGAAGAGAGTTGGAAGCATATATCGCTTTCTTTGAGCATTTTGTATTTCAAAATCTTTAAGCCTACGTGGCGAGGTACCAGAAGGTGTGGTACATCTCTACCATCTTTATAAGAGACCTTGTGTTGATGAAAATATTGAGATGTGACAAGTTTGAATGGAATCGGATGTTGATTTTGCGTTTTATGAGCATCATAGATATTCAAAATTTTGACCCTTTGCGAGGGAGGTACTAGAAGTAGTTGACTGATATATCCCATCTTCACATCAGACCTTAGATTAATAAAAATATTTTCATATGTGTAATTTTAAGATCGGACTCTTACATCACATTTTATAAGATTTATATATTTATTTCAAATTTTGACACTTAGTAAGGGAGATACTTAATAGAGTCGACCGATATTGTCCATTTCCGCACCTGACCTAGCACTGATGTTAATATTAGGTTTCGCAAGTTGGGGCAAAATCGGATTATCCTATCTCTTTCTGTGCAGTAAATTATTTTCTTTGAAAATGTTGATATTTTGTGCAAGAGGTACCAAGAGGAGTGGACCGATATTGCCAATCTCCGAACTCGATCTATGTTTGATAATAATATTACGATGTACCAAGTTTGGGCCAAATCGGATACTCTCTTCGTGCGCACCCGACAGACAGACGGGCGGACAGACATCGCCAGAACCACTACAAATGTCCTAAAACGGATTTGGTCCAAAAAGACCTAAACTGTTATTTCAGTGAGGTACGTTTTGGCCGTATTAAGTGATATATACCCTCTCTAGCCATATGGCTGAGGGTATAAAAATCTGGAAATATTTTAAAATGCCCTTGGAACCCATCCAGTTAATAACGATCAACTTTTTTCATAAAGATCTTTTGTTTTATTCAAAAATAATTGGTCTGTTCCAGAACTGCAAGAATACAAAAAAGGTATATAAAAGGTTTTACTATTATAACCGATTTTCCTTTATGATATCGAAGAAAATTGCAAAACTATGAATTTATTGCCGGTACTGAAACCAAGCAAATATGTGGCTATAAATTCGATTTTTTATTTTAATTCAATTTTTTTATAAAAAAAATCTGTAAAAAATTTACTTCACATTTTGAAGTACAATTTCATACGTGATTGAAAATCCTTGCGAAAAATCGAACAGTGTTGGCTTGTTTGTTCGGGATACCGTAGTATTTTGTTGTTGCAAAATAGTCAGGTTTATCCCTTTATTGTTGTTTTTATAAAACCAACGTTTGTTTATAAGTGGAGAACGATGGTAATGTTTACCAGGGGGTAAGGCAGGGAATACCTAGGTTTCGAAAAGAGCACATATCCTTTTCTAATTGGAAAAATCCTTAATCAAGGAGTGCATACCTAAATACCTAATACTTTGATTTTTGGATTTGAGTAATTGGTTTTCCAATTGGAAATGATAAAACCAAAATTTTCATATTTTTATTTTTTAATAAACAAATTTTATTATGTAAATATATTTTCGTTAAATTTCGAATTTTAATTTATTATCCTTTTTTCTTCAAAAATTCTTTGCATTTGCCCCACTGTGAACATTAAAATGCCTCTCAGCCTTGCTCTGCTGCCAAGCAAACGGACATCGTCGCAAGCAGCATTTTCAACGTCTGCCTCTGAAATTGTTGATAGGAATAATTTTTTCTATTTTTATTTAAAAAACAAAATATTCTAATTTAAGTTGTTGTTATTATACCGCTTTCTATAGATTTTCCACTGTTTTTCTTGGCTCTTGCGTCAATACTTCACACACACACACACACGGCGACACACTCACACACAATTCTGACATTTGTATTCTTTTTTTGTTCTCTCTCCCTCAACGTTTGTTTCATCGTGGATTTTTTGTTTTGACCCTGTTTGCTGTACTTTTTTGTCTGCCACTTTTCCTATGACATTTGGTTGGGTTGGTATGGTTTGGTTTGTGCGATCATCGTCGTCGTGGTGTTCGTGTTGTCCATTCGGCTTTGGCTTTTGTTGTTGGCTGCCTGTGTGTTATCATCTTCGTTGTCCCTGGGAGGAGAAAAGATATCACTTGGACACTTGGTTGGATGTTATTTTATTTTTGTTGTCTAGTTTTTCCTGCCTACCTACCTACCTACCTTTCATTCGTTTCGTGTTTTTTTTTTCTTCTTTCAGTGGGTTTCCATTTTATTTTGATTATGAAAATTCTTATTTTTGGTTGGCTTCGCTTTTGACTTGACGTTTCGTTTCTTGGGTTTGTTTATTTGTTTTTAGATTATCGTCTCATACGATCGTATCTCGTACAAATACATATCACCGCCGTCTTCTTCTTCGGGTTTATCGACGAAAATAGATTCTTCTTGGATTCTGATTTTCCAGGAGAGTGAATTTAAAGATTGGTAATCGGTTTCCATACAAATCGATTCTTATTGCAAAAGATTCTTGTTTTGTTTTGGTTTTTCCCAAACGGGTTTTTGGTTTTTCGTTTCGTTTTGTTTGGTTTTTTTTTCTTTGTGTCCAAGAAAGGTCAGGGTCAGTCTCTTTTAATTTCTCGTGAGAGATTACAAAACATATCGTGAAGATCTGAATAGTTTGAGCCATTAATTTACATAAATTATTTTAATCAATCTATTATGGTTTGGGATTGTTTTTTTTTTTTGTGGAAAAACGAAGAATATTGAAAATATAAAAAGGGCAAAGTGATTAGTTTTGAGTGAAAATTAAATGAAAAGAAAAGAGGGTTTTCAATAGAAAATCTTTACACCTTCACATTGATGAACTGCATATCTTCTCCTGGAAAATATATAGATCTCAAAAGTGAGTTTCTAGATCTTTTCATTGAAAATCGGAGGATCTCCTCACAGAAGATCTACTCATCTTCGAGAATATCAGTGGGCCTCTCATGAAGGATCGGTATTTCTTCTCATAGAAAATACGTAGATCTCCTTATAGAAAATCAGTGGATATTCTGGTAGAAAGTCTGTAAATTTTCTTGTAGGAGATGTGTAGATCTTCTCACAGTACAGCCGGTTTTTCGAAACTGTAACCGGGTTTTCGATATTTGGATGTGGGTTTAGGGTTTGGTGTTGATGTGCCTGTTGATTGGCTATGATTTTCAAATATCTGTAATTATATACAAAACCGGTTTTTTTCAAGATTATCTAGCGGTTTTTTTTTCAAGCCGCAACCGGGTTTGTGGGCAGTTTTTAATAGTTTTGACCGGTTTTTTTTTTGGATTCGCAAATGCTTTTGTAACATTTTTAACAATTTTTCCAAAAGAGATTTTTTTAACGAAAATTATTGATATATTTAATAACCGGTTTTCATAAATTGTGACCGGGTATTTGGAATCGCAAATGCTTTTATAATTTTTTTGAACGATTTTTCCAATAGAGATTTTTTTTTAACGAATTTTAGGAATATTGTTGATTTGTTTTATAACCGGTTTTCATACATCGTGTCCGGGTATTTGGAATCCCAAATACTTTTATAATTTTTTAAACAATTTTTTTCGATATAGATTTTTTTAATGAATTTTAGGAATATTCTTGATATATTTTATAACCGGTTTTGATAAATTGTGACCGGGTTTTTTGAATTCAAAAATGGTTTGAAGATTTCTTAACAAATTTCTAAACAGAGATTATTCTTTTACTATTTATAATAATATTATTGAGACATTTGATAACCGGTTTTCATTAATTGTAAGCGGGTTTTCGAGATTTCAAAGCGGGTTTAGGACTTTTGAAACTAGTTTCTATGAGTATATACTCAATTTATACAATAAGAATAAACATATTGAATTTTGCCGCCAATGTTTTTGATTTAGAACCGGGTTTTATGTAATCATAACGGTTTTTTAGATTATGTTGCGGGATTTTAATCTTTTAAACCCAGTATTGGACAAGTATGAGATACATCTAAGTATTTTAATACAACTTAAAAATTGTATTAACGGTTTTTTAGATTTCGAACCGGGTTTTCAAAAATTTAAACTTCGAAATTCCTCAGCGAGTCTAGTACTTTTGAGATTAGTTTCTATGAACATATATTTAATCTATGTAATTACAATAAAACAATGAAAACCCCTGTCGTTTTTTTAAGTTTTGAACCGGATAAGCGGTTTTTTGAGATTATACAGCGGGTTTACGGTCTTTATAGCCAATGTTGGTAAATTTAGAATTGATCTATACATTAAGAATACAAATTAAACAATTTTCCTGCCGGACTCTCAGATTTAGAATCGAGTTTTCAAAATTATGATCCGGGTTTAAGAAATTTTACGGTCGTTATGGAACTCTCACTCTATGGAACTCTCTTTTCTCCTTGTAATCTGAAGAGAGCATTGTTTAATTACTCCAAATAGTTTGAAAATGTAAACAAAGCACACACATTTTTGTACAACAACCAGCTTTGTTCTTGGGCTGTAACAAATGTTTGGTTTCGAGAATTCTGAAAAATAAAACAACCTCCATAAAAATTTACATTGCGTTCGAATTTAAAATTTATATTTGTTTATTTGATCTCAAAATTTTCATAATCATTTGTTTATTGAATTTCATTCCATGAGTGTGGGTGTGTGTGCGCCTGAAATTTATTTGAATTTTACCCTAAAATAAACAGAATTATTTTAAATACAACACAATTTTCAAAATCGATGCATTTCTTTGTTGAAGAATTTTTAATTGAAAATTTCTTGAAATTTTGAAAAAAGTTCAATGGCATTGCGAGGTTTCTAAAATGGGGAAAATCCCCTTATTATACCCTCAGCCATATGGCTAGAGAGGGTATATATCATTTGATACGGCCAAAACGTACCTCATCGAAATAACGACTTTAGACCCTAAGTCTCTTTGGACCAAATCCGTTTCAGGACATTTGGGGTCGATCTAGCGATGTCCGACCGTCCGCCCGTTCGTCTCTCTGGCTAGTGCGACCGATAACTCTCGAAGCGAGTACTAGATTTGATCCAAACTTGGTACATCGTAATATTATTATTAAACTTAGATCAAGTTCGGAGATGGGCAATATCGGTCCACTTCTTCTGGTACCTTCCCCACAAAAAGGTCGAAATTTTCAAAAAAAATATTTTTTGCATAGAAAGAGAAAGGATAATACGATTTTGCTCCAACTTTGCAAATCCTAATATTTGAATCAGTGCTAGGTCAGGTGAGAAAATGGACAATATCGGTGCACTCCATCAAGTACCTACCCCACAAAGGGTCAAAATTTTGAATAATTATAAGTCTTATAAAATGTGATGTAAGAGTCCGATTGTCTCCAAATTAAAGATATAACAATGTTTTTATTAACCCAAGGTCTGCTGTGAAGAAGAGATATATCGGTCCACTCCTTCGGGTACCTCCCCCACAAAGGCATCAAAATTTTGAATAACCATGAAGCTCATAAGAATTGAAATTAACATCCGATTCCATTCAGACTTGGTACATCTCAATATTTCCATCAACACAAGATCTGCTAAAAAGATGGTAGAGATCGGACCATTCCGTCTGGTACCTCTCCCACAAAGGGTCAAAATTTTGAATAATTTTAACTCTTGATGATGCAATAGTCCGATTATCTTCAAATTACACAAATCTCAATATTTTTATAAACCCAAGATCTGCTGCGAAGATGGAATATATCGGTCCCCTCCTTAGGGTACCTCCCCCACAAAGGCATCAAAATTTTAAATATCCATGAAGCTCATAACACGCGAAATTAACATCCGATTCCAATCAGATTCGGTGCATCTCAATATCTCCATCAACAAAGTATCTGTAATAAAGATGGTATAGATCGGACCACACCTTCCGGTACCTCCCCCACAAAGGGTTAAACATTTTGAATAATTGCCTCTCATAAAATGTTAAATAACCATTCGGCTCTCTTCAAATTTCACACATCCCAATATATCTATTAACCCAAGGTCTGGTGTGGAGGTCTGGTATATCGGGCCACTCCTTCTGGTACCTCCCCCACAGAGGGATCAAATTTTTTATAATAAAACGCCCTAAAAATGCGAAATAAGTGTCCGATTTTTTTCAAATCTCACACATCTCAATATTTCGACCAACACATTATCTGGTGTGAAAATGAAATGTATCGGACCACACCTTCTGGTACCTCCCCCACAACGGGTCAAAATTTTGAATAAATATATCTCTCACAAAACATGAAATAAGTATCTGACTCTCTTAAAATTTCACACATTCCAATATTTCTATTTACACAAGATCTGGTGTAAAGATGGAATATATCCGACCACACCTTCTGGTACCTCCCCCACAGAGGGATCAAATTTTTTATAACAAAACGGCCTTAAAATGCGAAATAAGTGTCCGATTCTTTTCAAACTTCCCACATCTCAATATTTCGATCAACACATGCTCTGGTGTGAAAATGAAATATATTGGACCACACCTTCTGGTACCTTCCCCACAACGGGTCAAAATTTTGAATAATTATGTCTCTCGTAAAAGGTTAAATAAGCACCCGACTCTCTTAAAATTTCGCATATCCCAATATTTTTATTAACCCAAGGTCTGGTGTGAAGATGGAATATATCGGATCACACCTTCTGATACCTCCCCCACAGAGGGATCATTTTTTTTTTATAATAAAACGCCCTTAATATGCAAAATATCCGTGTCCGATTCTTTTCAAACTTCACACATCTCAATATTTCGACTAACACAAGATCTCGGGTGAAAATGAAATATATCGGACCACACCTTCTGGTATCTCCCCCACAATGGGTCAAAATTTTGAATAAATATATCCCTCATAAAATGTCCCTCATAAGCATCCGATTCTCTTAAAATTCCGCATATCCCAATATTTCTATTAATACAAGATCTGGTGTGAAGATGGAATATATCGGACCACACCTTCAGGTACCTTCCACACAGAGGGATCAAATTTTTTTATAACAAAAGACCCTTAAATTGCGAAATAAGTATCCGATTTTTTTCAAATCTCACACATCTCAATATTTCGACCAACACATTATATGGTGTGAAAATGAAATATATCGGACCACACCTTCTGGTACCTCCCCCACAGCGGGTCAAAATTTTGAATAATTTTGAAAATTTTCAAAAATTATATCTCTCATAAAAAGTTAAATAAGCATCCGATTCTCTTAAAATTCCGCATATCCCAATATTTCCATTAATACAAGATCTGGTGATAATATGAAATATATTCGACCACACCTTCTGGTACCTCCCCCACAGAGAGATCAAATTTTTTATAATAAAACGCCCTTAAAATCCGAAATAAGCATCCGACTCTTTCAAAATTCCGCATATCCCAACATTCCTAAAAATTGAAAATTTTATTCCCAGTCCATCAGAAATTTGCCACCCAGACATCCCATCAACCGGAAAACTCCATCTCTTTAATGTCATGACCTTTTCCTCAAAGGCTTTAATTTATTCAAAACCAGCCATTCAAGTGTCCTGTTCAGTTTGATTTCTTAAACCTCACAGGAAGGAAGTCCGTGGCAGACATGTATACGTCCACACTCTGGCTATCAAAGTGACAAGGCAGGACATCTTTATATTTTGCTTCAGATGAGATTTGGTGAGTGATAGGCTGCCGGCCACCTAAGTGATGGAAAGGCCACCTAAGTGGAATTTAGGAAAA